GAACAGGCATATGCATTATAAACCACATAAATGTAATTATAGCGATTGTGACATGAGTTTTGTTACTAACTATGAATTAAAGCAGCATATAAATCATGTTCACTAAAATGACAATTAATTATTATAACAATTAAAATTTTTGATAAAACTTAATGTAAATACTATTTTATTATGTTTATTAAAGGTAAACATTTTTTGTATTGAAATAATTTCAAATTAAATACAAATGTTTTAAAATAAATTTATTTAAAAATCAAACTACGGTTTCAAATGATTGTATTCCTATTTATTATCACAATATAACTGTATAACTATAACTGATTAATCAAATAAAATGTCTGGTTCTTAAATAAACTTGTACAATATTAATAGAAATAATAAACATTAATTAATAGGGAATTATAGAGCCATCATAACTGACAGTCTGTCCCAATAACTCATCATTAATAGCACGGATAGCGTCGAGAATACCGGTGACACTCGTGTCGACATCAATAGCGGCGTTATAGTTGGTAAACCCGGTGCGCACGTGACCCGGGTGTACGCCCATCACACTTATGCCCAGAGGTTTGAGGTCTACGGACAGGCATTTGGTGGTCATATTGAGGGCCGCTTTACTAGTCTGATAGGGATAGTAGCCTCGGAACGGGTACTGTCCGATCAGGGATATGGATCCCAAGGTTGACGTTATGTTGATTACAGCTGTTTTGCGTTTGGTAGCCGAGACCTGGGGTATATGTTTTATCATGATTAATTATTTTTTGTATTTAAAAAATTTATTACATTGTAATAATAAAAAATTAAAAGTTAAGCATGTGTAAAAAACATAAAATATATGTTATTATTTAAAACTTAGTTGTAAAAGTAAATGTACAAGTTAAATTAATTACAATAAATAATATTTCAAGTATTTGTTAAGGGCAGTACTAGATTATATTTTTAATATTAATAAAATTCTTCTAATATAATTACTTCAATCTATTGGCTAAACATTAACATGAAATAACTTTTGATACATTACTGACACATTTTCAATTCATAATAGAAATTATAGTTTAATATTTTCATAAGTCTTCACAAACCTTAAGCAATGGCAGCAATGCTTTGGTTAACATAAGCGGTGCCACAGAATTCACTTCAAACACATTCATCATATCCTCGACGGACACCGAATCCAAACCATTGCGACAAATAATACCGGCGTTATTGACGAGGGTATCCAATCCCTGGTCACCCACTATGGCCTCCACTTGTTTGACAAACTGCGGAAAACTGTTATAATTAGTGCCCTCCAGTTGCAGGACATGGAGTCTATTCGGGTGTTTGTCTCTGAGTTGATCCAACTCTGGGTGAGACGACTGACGAGTGGTTGCGATGACATGTTTGGCGTGAGTTGTGGTCAACACCTGTCGCACTAATG